CTCTGCCTTTCAAATAAATAAAAATAAATCTTTTTTTTTTTAAAGAAACTGTCAGTGCAAGTGCAGGTACTGTATAAAATGAAGGAGTGAACAACAACAAACAGGAAATCATAATAGGAAATTCTCACAGAAGGAAAATCTCAGAATGTCAGCGTGCATCAGGGGTAGAAACTGATTCTGACTGAAGGATGGAGGACTCCACTGTGGAGTGCTGGGGAGGGGTTTGGAAGGCACTAATGATTGTCCAGTAGGGTCCATTGTGAGGAGAACACCAAGGACAGGTGTTTCACAGAGCCACTGGAATATTTAGGAAAGGTATAGCAATAGGTTCCAAAAAATTGAGGAAATGAAAAAAAGTAATTATTTTTCTCTCAAGAAATTGTACAAAGAAAGACAAAGATGAAATAAAGCACAGTTTACAACTTGGATCTGCAGTGAACAATAACTTTCATAACAATGTAAACTCAGCATTGATTTAATTATAGTTATGATGTGATTTATGAGAGCCACTGAGGGACTGAGAATTTTCCACTGTGGTCTGTGCAAGGCCCTGTCCCCCGCAGCTATTCCTCCTCCGTGTGTAGTGCACAACTCTTCCTCCCCAACTGCTCTGTGTAAGTGCTGTACAAAGTCTGACTTAGTCAAACAACAGCTGCGCACCAGCAAGAACAGTTCCTCTCTACCGGGAACCATCCATGAGCTGAACTTGGCTGCTCTGTCTACAGTTCCGTCTGAAACATCTCATCCTCTGGCTTGGCATTGACAACGAAGGAGTTTTTGCTACTAGTTCACTGGCTGATTCCCTTTCACAGACTGTATTGCAGAAATGGAGAAAAATGGAAGGGTAGAGTAAGAGAGTTATATATTCACATATAATGTCAGTAGATTCTGTCTCAAGTGGAAAAATCAAGAATCAGCAAACAAGTATTTGGAAGTAGGGGAGTAATTGGTGAGACAGTTAGAGCTGAAGGTGGTTGTATCTGGGGAGTGGGACTTCTGTTTTTGTTATAATCAATTGATCTTCTCTAATTAAAAACATAGATGAATGTATTATTTTGACCACAATTTAGACAAAATTTTAAAGTAAAAAGGTAAGTTCCAATTATACAATCTGGTGTGTCTACAAATCACCTCAACTAAATGATCCCAACAAACAAAACTGTTGAAAACTTTGCAGGGTTTTAAGTACCGGGACGAGAGGTTTGCTGGGCGGCCAGGGCAGCAGATGTGGAGGTGGAAAGTGGCTTCAGCCCACACCACCGGGGCGGGGAGCAGGCAGCTACAGTAGATCTGTCACCCAGCCAAAATTGTGGGCCTGCTTCCTGGTGAAGTACAAGAAATGCACCTGAAGGAGTTGTCACAGGAAGTAATTTATTTGTGACAAATTTGGAGTCCGTGGGGAATAATTGCCAAAGCCATGACTCCCACGGGCAGGGGAAGTGTGTGGGGAAATAAATATGAAAGAGGGGAAGTTGTTTCCATTGCATGTCGGGGTGGGTATAAGTTCACACAGACACAGTTCAGAAACATGTTCTAACATAGGTCGCATGTTATGGTACTAAGACCTAAGCTCCTTCTAGGGTGGAGATTTTAGTATTAAAATGAAGCCAAGGGGGGCCTGTGCTGTGGCACAGCAGGTAAAGCCGCCGCCTGCAGTGCCAGCATCCCATATGGGCGCCTGTTCGAATCCTGGCTGCTCCACTTCCGATCCAGCTCTCTGCTATGGCCTGGGAAAGCAGCAGAAGATGGTCCAAGTCCTTGGGCCCCCGCACCCGTGTGGGAAACTCGGAAGAAGCTCCTGGCTCCTGGCTTTGGAGCGGCATAGCTCTGGCTGTTGCAGCCATCTGGGAAGTGAACCAGTGGATGAAAGACCTCTCTCTCTCTCTCTGCCTCTGCCTCTCTGTAACTCTGCCTTTCAAATAAATAAATAAATACATCGAATAAATAAGTAAATAAATAAAAATAAAATGAAGCGAAGAGTAGTAACTTAGGAGAACATCAGTACTTTTAGGGTCTTGAAATAGAAATGAGTCACGATAGATTTTTGAGTCCCTGGAGCATGAACCAGGGACACTTCCATCTGTAGCTCAGGCCTTCCAAGGGTTCCCTGAGGAAGTCAGAGGTTTCTGCTCCATAGAGACCCTAGTGCTCACTGGAAAATCCTTGTAAGAGGAAAAGTGAAGTTCTTTTCAGTTTCCTCTTCTGCAACTGGTCTTCCGGGCAATTCTCTTTGCAGTCCATGTTTTCTCTCTTACTCCCTTTCCCTTAATCAGTCGAGATTCTTTTTCTTCGGGTTTGATTTTTCTGTATGATCTTAAATTCTTCCTGCCATCCTCTCCCTGTCTCTCGTCTCTGGCTCTCTCTAAGGCTTGGCTGATCCTTCTATTTATAGACCTGCCGAGTGATTTAGAGTTTTGTCCCTTGCTTTGCTGGGTGATGAGCTGCGATCACTCACCCTAGGCACACACCTTGCCCACCGAAGTGGCCATTATTCCTCAGTGTGCTGTGTAATGGCTGAGATAAGCCTGAAACTTTTGAGAGTAAGCCCTCTAAGACTATGTGATGTGCTGAATTCAAGTTGTGCTTTTGAACTACTTCAGAAGTAATCAGCACATTGTCTTCTAAAATTTCTAACTTCAACTGAAGAACTTTTTCTAGAGGATGACAGTAAGAAATGACAGGATATAGCACAGAACCAATTTTATAAGCAACCTATTTATTAACAACTAAAATAAAATCAGCCCATCAAGTAAGGCTCTTTAATAATCCCTGGAGAAGCACAGTGACCAGATTTAAAGAATAAAGTTGGATTTAAAATTGCATTTCAATTTTTAAGTTTCTGAAAATGGAAACACTAATCTGAGAAAATGCTAAATTGTCAAGACAAAAATCTTTGCTTTTCTTCTCTTAAAAATGTAAAATCTGGGGGCTTTCAGATTTTAAAACCACAGCTATCAACATGTAAAACTCATTTACAGGATTCAAAACTGAGGAATTATGGAGGCATAAAAAATCATGGTGCTGTAAAGACATCAACTCTTGCTATTGAAAATATTTGAAATGGTACCACTGCTTGCTGCAAGTTGAGCTTTCTTAATGAAAAACCTGGGGCCAACCAAGAACAGAAAGGGCCCTATGGTCTATGTGTAGTTACTACTGGGGCATTTCGATTTTCATATAATCCTGCCTTTATTTTAAATGCAGTTTAATTATCAACACACACACACACACACACACACAACACACCTCAAACCAAATATCCACCCTGCATTTTTTTCTCACACAGAAGGAGGCCTCTTGGAAGATTTTTCCAGGCTGACCACTTAACAGTGGTCAAGCCCAAAATAAACCCATGATGGCTTTACCAGACAAATTCAGCAGCACACCAAACTCCAGGCCACGGAGGGCTGGGCTCAGCTTTTCCTTCAACGATCTCTCCCAAGACCCCCACCCACACTTCCCCATCTACTAATTAGAAAGTGAGCTAGGATTCCAAACGTAAATGCTAAATGGAGAGGGAGCTCTGGTCCAAGGCCAGGACTCCTTGAACGTCCACCACAGCACAGTCAGCTCTGGAAAGAAAGCTGGGGTTAGTGTTTACTCTCGTCTGTCTGAGAGGGAACTGTTTTCCACAGATGGAAAACTCTGAAAAGATAAAATTTAAAAACAACAACCAGCCTTGGGACTTCAAAAGAGTCCTTTAGGGGGAAAGGAACAAGCATCTTTTTATAAGCTCGGTGATTGCCATGGTGACACGAGGGGACACGAGGAGTGCCCTCCAGAACAGCTCCTGGCTCCAGGCAGGCAGCCTCTCAACAGCACAGGGCGACTTCTTCAGTTACCATGGCAACTGAAATTAGGAGCGTTTTGCAACACTCACAGAGACCATCTCTTGAAGCGCTTCTGTGAATCACATCGAATACTGATGATGCAAGCTTGTGTGATACATATTTCTCGAACTTTTTTTAAAAAAAAAATTGCCATAAACAAAACTTGTTTTAAACTTCCACTTGGAATAGATATTTTGTTCGTGGTTTTGTTTGTTTCCCTTTCGGATTCCCGTGGCCTCCAGGGCAAATGCAATTTGTTTAATTTCCAAAGTTGTCTGAATTACACGGCCGAGAGCTCAGCATGTGATTCACTCGCTCTGATTCTGAAGCGGGAGGGGGAGCGGGGTGGGGGAGGGCGGTCCTAACATAGAGCCCTCTTGTCTGCTGAACTCAGGAGTAACCAACAGGGGAGCCAAGGGGCGAAGTGCCGATGGCTGCGTCTTCTCCGTCCTCCGCAGAGTCAGGAGCGCCTTCTTCTAGTGCCTGGGCCTCGCCGTCTGCTCGGGTGTACCAGGCCCCGGGGAGCCCATCAGCACCGGCATTTCGGAGTCCCAGTTGCGGTCCTTTCCCGGTGGGGTCGAGTCCTCGGGCTCTTCGTATCCCTAGAGGGACCTCTGGGAGGAAGAGACGAGGCTCTTCCTCACTTCGCAGGGACTCCCCACGGCAGCCCCCGGCCCCGGCGAGCGTCCAGCTGCGGGGTGTGCCGGGCGGTGTCGTTTCCCTGGCCGCAGCGGCGAGACGCCCGCTCCCTTACCGGTGCAGCCGCGGCCAGCGCCGGTGAGGAGGTCGCCCAGGTCTCAGCCCTTGTCTCAAACCTGCAGACCGTGCCGGTGCCTCGGTCCAGCGCTAAGCCGCTCTCCCGGGCTCACGGGTGGGCGCGCACACACAGGGCACACGGGGACACGGGGCACACACGCGCCCATGGACACGGGCGCCGCACATGCCCTGGGCACCCACGCGCGAGCGCGCCCTCGCCCCGGCCCTGCGGGCAAATCAAGGCGCCCTTCATCTGCTCCTGACCCCACCACGCCGCAGTCTGGGTCTCCTCTTCCCCCTCCCTCGGGCTGCGGGATGGAGACGCCCTCCTCCCGGCCGCTCAGGTCCGCAGCTTGGCCCAGGAAGGGCGGGCGGGTGGCGGTGCTGGCTGCCGCCCCACGACCCCGCGCTTACCTTGGTGGCGCCGCTGGCTCGCAGGCTGCGCCGCGCGGTGCCCGGCCAGGCGCTCCCGGCGGCAGGCGCGGGCGGTGCGTGGTGGTCCCGGTGCGCGGGGTGTCTCCGGCGCCGGAGCTGTCAGGGGCGGTCAATGCGACCGCCCGCGGCCCGGCAACCCCCGCCCGCCGGCCTCTGCCTGGTGTCGGCGGAGGGGACCCAGGCGCCCCGCAGCGTTTCCCGAAGGACCAATCGGGAGCTTGGGGCTGGCCCGGGGGAGGGGAAAGAGGGAGGCGAGGGGACGCGGGCCGGGACCGCGGAGCCGGTTTCTATGGCAGCCGGGCGGGAGGGGCGCGCGGCGCGGGGACACCCACTGCAGACGCGCGGGAGGGGGTCCCGGCCTGCAGCGGAGAGGGTCCCCCCTAGGCGACCCGGCTCCCAGCCACTTAGCAGCTGCAAGCCCTTGAGCGGGGGTTTCTGTGTCCTCGCAACAGAACGGAGGGCTCCGGCAACACACAGTGACAGCTCGTCTGGGCGAGTCCCGCAGGGTTTAGGCTCTGCAGAACGAAGCGCTAGTGTCACCCCTAGCGGGGTTCCGAGCATCCATCAGGCCTGGCTCCGCTGGTGCCGCTTAGACAGTGGCCCCGTTCCGCTGCCCACCCCTGGGTATGATCCATCCTCTCTGGCTGATGATAGATGCCAGATAGTATTCTTCCAGTTTACAAACAAGGAAGCCAAGTCAGTGGGTTGAGTGCAGAGCAGGGAACGTGATTCACGGAATACTAAAGCATGGGGTTGTTTGCTGGAGGGTAAGCCCTTCGTTTTACAGAGGAGGAAACTGAGTTCAGAGAGGTCTGATCACGTAGCAGGTGTCCCACAGCCGGGACTGAGCGCCCTAAGGCTTGGTTCTGCGTCCGATCTTTACACCTGCTTATGTTCCGCATCCTGTATTCACAATTGCCCAGGCAAAAGTGCTCAGAAGAAAAACAGCTTGTCTGAAATCCTTTTATGGTAGAAATTAGGGAACTCAGATTCCTTTCTAATGTTGTTTGTCGGGCACTGTAATGAATACTTTCGAGAAGAGTAACTAGTCAAATCCTCACAAATCATCTAGGAGTTAGGAATTATTATCCTCGGATTGGCAGATGAGGCTGAAGTCCTACGGCTGTAGAATGCTGGTGCTGGACTCAAACCCAGCCGCTCTGCCTAGTCTATGCGCTTTCTTTCTACTCTGCTGTCTCCTGGTGTGATGACTATAGGGGTCAGGAAGACAAAGGGCAAGAAGTAAAACCTTGGACAGCTCCATGCTCTGTCCATTGACATGGGCAAGAAACTAGAACCTGGAACTATATTGCCTCCTTGGTTTTTGAGAGCAGTCACCTGTTTGTGGAGGATAGGGTTTATCTTTAAAGGCGGGGGGATGGGGGGAGGCTCTCAGAAAGGCAAGGAAATTCTTTAAAAAAAAAAAGTACTCATACTACCAGTGTATTTTCTTTCTAAAATAATAAAACTGTAGGGTAAAACTTTATATATCTTTAAAAGATATAAGCCTGCTCAGATTCTGTAACATGATAATATATAGGTTAAAATTGCATAGGGAAATTGCCTAGAAACCAAGACTCAAACTGTCAACCTGACACAGGCTCTCCGCCCTCACATTATGCCCCCAGAGCCTGATGCTAGAAATCTACTTGCTTTAGTGAATATTAGAAATGCTTTTCATTACCTGTTTAATTTAAATCACCTGTGATTTAAATTAACCTTCCAATACTTTAATACAATGAGCAAATGTCAGAAAAATGCTTTAATGTCAAGGAAATATTTTCCTGAAGAATTTATGAAGTTGTAAAACCTATAGAGGGTAGGTTTCAAGGTTATTAGAAAGCTTATAAAAATTTAACTTTAGGAGTGAGCCCTTCGCATAGTGGTTAAGATGCTGCTTGGACACCCTCGTTATGAGCGTCTAGGGCTGGGTCTCACGCTGCTCCCTGAGAGGGAGTGAGTGGTGGCTCCAGTACTTGGGTCCTTACCACTAACACGGGGGAAAAAGACTGAGCCTGGGCTCCTGGCTGTCGGGGACACTTAGGGTGCTAAACCAGTGGATGGAAGCCATCTTCTCAAAGTAAACGTTTAAAAAATGTTTTTCAAAACCCTGCTCCCTGTGTTGCCAGTAAGTCAAATGCCTTCCCAAACACGTTTCTAAAGCAGGAGGTATGCGATCTATGCTTTAACATTGACAGTGGCTACAAATGCAGGTTTTTGAGTCATAAAATTGCACTTTTGACTTCTGGTTCTGTTAGTTACTAGCTGAATGATGCGTTGCTTTCGAGTATCTTCTAGCCTGATCTTAATCTAGGTATTGTTATGACAATCAGCAGTATGAAGTATGTGGTAGAGTAAAATACAGTAAATGTGAACCTGATTCATTCAAGGCAGGGGGCCCCTAGATAGCTTCAAGTTGAGGGAGGGCCACCAGAGGACCCAATCGTGAGTGGACAACTGGAGAGACCTGGAGAGAGGCTGAAGGTTCATCCCCAGACACCGATGACTTCATCAGCCTAGATTATGAAAATTCACTAAGGATGTTTCTAAGTTGGTGAACACAACCTGCTGAGTGGCACGCCAGGGGAGAGGAAGGTGTGGAAATGTTTTCTTCCTCTGCAACCCTCACTTTACCCAATACAGCCCTTCCATTTGGCTGTATCTGAGCTGTATCCCCTACAGTAAAACTAAGGATAGTGCATTCCTGAGTTCTGGGAGTTGTTCTAGCAATGACACTTGGGGATAGAAGGACTTAAGAACCATGACTTTCTAGTTGGCTTTCCAAGTGTGGGTAAGCTTAACAAACCCCGTTTGCGGCTGGTGTCTGAAGTGGGGGCAATTTCGCAGAGCTGAGCCCTTGGTGTGTGTGTCTGTTGTGCATCTGGGCAGTGTCAGAACTGAATTGCTGGACACTCAACTGGTGTCACAAAGTCAGTGTTGGAACAATGGAACACAATCTCTAGTGCACTTAGGATTTCTGTTTGTAAGGATCGATGGTGCATATTCCACTGCTCAATTATTAAGGTAAACATAGCTTAAAACCTCAAGAGGAATGTTAGTAGAGAACAATTAGTAGCCAATATCCAGAAAATACACATCAGTTTTGAATAACTGTTTTGTTATATTTAAAGTGTTTTGCCAACTACAAAGTGTTAACAAAAATTTACCACCAATGAGTAGTTTTCCTCCCTTTTGTAATCAAATTTACTGGTATTCTGAGTGTACTGATAGCTTTTATACTTTTTGAAAGGAAAATGAACTATACCTGCCCCTTCAATCTGTCTTGAAAGGCCTTGATAAATATGAAAACTATAATGAGTTTTAATGCTTTGATGTGCCTCTGTCTCTGATCTCTACCTTGTGGTCAAAGGTCTTCTACCATTATGTTTGAAAGGTTTAAAGGCAGCCGGCGCCGTGGCTCACTAGGCTAATCCTCCGCCTGCAGCGCCGGTACCCCAGGTTCTAGTCCTGGTTGGGGAGCCGGATTCTGTCCCGGTTGCTCCTTTTCCAGTCCAGCTCTCTGCTGTGGCCTGGGAGGGCAGTGGAGGACAGCCCAAGTGCTCGGGCCCTGCACCCGCATGGGAAACCGGGAGGAAGCACCTGGCTCCTGGCTTTGGATCAGTGTGGCGTGGGGGCCGTAGTGGCCATTTGGGGGATGAACCAACAGAAGGAAGACCTTTCTCTCTGTCTAACTCTGCCTGTCAAAAAAACAAACAAACAAACAAACAAAAAACACAAAAAAAACCCCCAAACATTTAAAGGCACTAGTATGAACTATTTTCAGCATTCAAAATTCACTACATGCTAGCAATTTATAGATTTAAGATCACTGATAGGGCTTTGTTAAAAAAAAGAAAACACAAAACAAAACTAAAAATTTATCAGGAACATAGATACCTGAAGGCAAACAAGATAGATAAATACACATCAGAAAATACCTGACCATAAGCCAATTTCTACACTGGGTAACTTGAAAAAAAGAGTCAAGAACACATAATTTTAAAGTTTACTTTAAAAAGGTAAATATCTCCCAGTATTTAACAGGTAAAGAAAATAGCATATTGGTTTATTTTTATATGGTTGTTATATTTTATTTTCCAAGTAATACTGATTAAAAATATTTACACACCTACTTTTAAGTCCACAGTTTAGCACTCTTATTTGTATGGCTTCAAAAGTTATAGCACAAGATCTTTACATTAAGGATTGGGAAAAAAAAAAAAGATTCCATTCAAAACAAAGCCTGATATATTATATACACGTTTTTCTCTGTATTTTAAATACATTAATTTTTAAAGGATGTCCATCTGTTTTTCATCTGGTGGTAAAATACTAGTGCAACTTTTCATCAAAATAAAGTTTACCACAGATGTAAACAAATTTTCCAATTGAAATGGCCCTTCAGCTGCCAATAAATGCAATTTCTGAACCTAACTTAAATGAGAAAGAATTGGTGGTTGTCATTATAAGCAAAAATATGAAGTGCTACAGCAACACCTACACTGCTTCTTACAACACAAACTTTGAAAGAACCAGAGATGCTTTATGTAAGTTTAGTTGGTTTTGAAAGGCACATGGGTGTGGATTTTTTTTACATTCCAGAAGTTTTGCCACCACCATTCTGTTTCTGTTGCAGAGATGGCATCTGTAGCTAGCGGGGTAGACAAGAATGTTGTTCAAAGTAAAGAAAGCCAGAGCCAAAATTTAACTGCACAGTAACAATGCACTTTTCTTCATGCAGCCTTGCTTCCTATACATTGTTTTCTAACATGCATTAGAATACAGAGACTTGTATTCTAATGATTTTACAATATGGGAGAAACTTGAAGGACATGACCTGGAGAAAAGGGAGAACCCTTACCACAATGAAAATAGATACATTCGTACCCAACTATATAATAAGAATATAACCCATTTAAGTTTCCAGAAATATACTTCTCAAAGCTCCCCTTCATTTATGGGAAAGATCCCCCCTTTGTGGCATTAAGTGGGAGAAAAAGAATCAGAATCAGTCTGTTTCGACAGAAACAGCTCAGCACAACAAGAAACAGATTAACTTTGGTCCACTTGTCTGTTAGCTTCAGGACAGTCACACTGCCCATATATCAGTTCAAAAGCCCAACATGTAAATTTAAAAATATATTCATTTGCTATTTCATTCTAAAACTGGCATAGCTGTTCTGTCTTCATTCCCTGTGTTTTCGGCTTGGGAATCCACTGCTGTTTTGGTCTCTAAACTCTCAGCATCTTCGTGATCCCTGGCAGCCTCGGCAGTATCTGGGTGGCTAGGCTCGCTCTCTTGGTTCATGATTTCAGGGGCTACGTGATCCAAGTCTGCTTCCAGAAGTTCAGTTTGTACTTCCATTGGCATCTGATTTACCCGTTCAACATGCAGCTCCTCCACGTGTACTTCAGTACCTTCTTCAGTCTGAATCCGGCCTACTTCTAGATAACTCACTTGGACCTGCTCCGGAAGCTCACTGATATGTGAATCGTGCACTTGGCCATCCTGGAGCAAATCTGGATGGACTTGTTCCACAGTCACTTGTGCTGAATCCACCTGGACCTGAAGCAATGGCAGCACATGCACCTTCCCAACTTGTTCTATAATAGTCATTGATGTCACAGGTTCAGTTTGCACGCGTGTTTCCACGGAAAGGACTTCTTCAGTTACTAGACGCTCTGAAATATTGTGAGCATCACTGAGATGTCTCCTTAACTCATTTCCTTGCATGAACCACAAGTCACATAAAGTACAATGGTTGGGTTTATCTCCAGTGTGTATTACCAAATGATCTTTGAACTGGTCCCAGCTGTTAAATACACTGTTACAGACCTGAAATAACCAAACATATGACATTAACACTACTTATATTCAAATTGAGGGTACTGATACATTTATTCTCTGCAGAATACATTCATAATAAATTGTAAGTTTATTCTGAAAATGTTATGAATACAGTATCTGTAATATAATCAAGTCGAAGCTAGTTTCATAATTTTTTGGCTCAGTCTTTTGAGCTGATAAAGTGAACAAATACATTTTGGGAAACACTTCAACAACACTGCCTTGTTAAAGTATCATATAAGTTTTGGGAATATAAAATGACAACCCTGTACTTTCTCCCAATAACATCAGCTTTTAGAACTTTACATTACTTGGGATAAAAATACACTAATCATGGTTTTCTACAGTTAATAACTGTAGTTTCAGACTATCTGTTACTTAGGACACAATTTTTTTTGAAACTGGTGTCATCTAGAGTTAGGTGAAAAAACTATCCTAAAACCCCTTAGAAAAATCAAGAAGGGAACAGCGCAGTGGCATAGTGGGTAAAGCCACCACCTGCAGTGCCAGCATCCCATATAGATGCCGTTTTGAGTCCCAGTTACTCCACTTCTGATCCAGCTCTCTGCTGTGGCCTTGGAAGGGCAGCAGAAGATGGCCTAAGCCCTTGGGCCCCTGCACCTGCGTGGGAGACCCAGAAGAAGCTCTTTCCTTGGGAATGACGCAGCTCTGGCCATTGCAGCCATTGGGGAAGTGAACCATTGGATGGAAGACCTCTCTCTCTCTGCTGTTACTCTGCCTTTCAAATAAATAAATCTTTAAAAAGAAAATATTCTTTTTTCCCATTTTTGCATTTAATACACTTAAACTACTGAGCATCACACCTTGGCAGCATAAGAACAGAGTGGAGTATCAACTGTTTACTCCTGCAATCATTTGGCTGACTGGGAGCTGCAACTCATTCTCTGCCTGGTATTTTAATAACAACCTACTGAACGCTGCTAGTCTGGAGGAAACCAAAATTAGAAATACTGTTTCTAATGAACAGACATACCTTTTCTAACATTGTAAGGTCAAAAAATTCTAAACTGTACCGTCCTGAATTGAGGACAGTCTGTTACACTTTGGTTTTGCTCTTTTCTTAGGGACTACAAACAAGAACACACATACCTGGCACTCATAAAGCTTCTTTCTTCCCTTTTTTGCCCCCACTCCAGTTTGGCAGGCAGTGAGGTGACATTTGAGGGTGCTATTTCTAGCAAATCGTTCATGACAATTTGGACATTCAAAAGGTTTTTCCCCTATTAGAAGAGGGGGGAACATGACCAATTAGGAAAAACAGCAAGAACAAATAATTAAGTTTGTTTTTACCATTTGTTAATTTTCATTGTACATTAAGAGAGAGAAATCACAATTTATAATTGAAATGTTTTCTCCACCTCTAAAAAGGCTTTTCTATGGCAGTAACAAGATTCAGTGATTATAATCTGTTTTGATGAAGAAATAAAACTTGGATGTGAGTTCTGTTCCATGTTTTTGCATTTCATAACTGTCTTTTCCATTAGATGAAAATGATGATCATTCTCTATTTTGGGGAAGTGTATCACTATCCTTCCCACCAGCTTTGAAAATGCACTTACCATGTTACAAGACTGCGTGCTAGGGGCTGAATGTAAAAGGATAAATTATAAACTGTCCTTTTCAAAAACTTCATCTCAAAGGTCAGACTCTGAAGTGAAATATGTGAAAATACACAAACACACTGCAGAAAGCCTGTTAACAGGAGAGACATGGAACACGCACTGCAGCAGCGCAGAGGAAAGGGCAAGTCTGCCTGGGCTTGAAAGAGACGAAGTGCATCCTATGCAGGGCACACAAGTGTAAAATAGCATGGGGATGCCCCAGTCTCTGGCTTAGAATACCAGCCTGCATAAAAAATGCAGACATGTAGGTCGAAGTAGGTCTGGGTTGGGTAGTAGCGGGAAAGGAGTGTATGTTCACAGTTTTGTGTCTGCTGGGTTTGTGGTGCTCAGGGCAGAGTGGAGATGTCTGGCAGACAGTTGTAGGAACAGTTCTGGAGTCGGAGGGAACACTGTTGTACGGAATGAGGGTCAGGGGTTATTTTTAATGGTAATAAAAACTTCTGGAATAGGTAAAATTACTCAGAGGATGTTGTGTGATAAAAGAATCAAGAATCGGGGCTGGTGCTGTGGCACAGCGGGTTAACACCCTGGCCTGAAGTGCCAGCATCATATATGGGTGCCGGTTTGAGACCTGGCTGCTCCATTTCTGATCCAGCTCTCTGCTGAGGCCTGGGAAAGCACAAGATGATGGCCCAAGTCCTTGGGCCCCTGCATCCGTGTGGGAGACCAAAAGAAGCTCCTGAGTCCTGGCTTGGGATCGGCGCAACTCTGGCCATTGCGGCCAATTGGGGAGTGAACCATCGGATGGTAGACTTCTCTCTCTCTCTGCCTAACTCTGACTTTCAAAAAAATAAATCAATCTTTACCAAAAAAAAAAAAAAAAAAAAAAAAAATTCAAGGATCAAGGTCAGACCTAGTGAAAACACTGAGTTAAAACAGCAACTGAGTTAAAACAGCAGGTAGGTGAGATAGCAAAAGAAATATAAATGGGATAGCTAAGAAAAAAAAAAAACTGAGGGAAATTACAGTAGTCAGTGATATGGTGTCATTGGATGGGCTTTGAAGAAAAGGGAAATCTCTTCTTCTGGAATAAAAAAGAGAGGTTTGATGCTACAGGTATGCTGGGGGTGGGAAGACAGGTATGTCATCTGCTGAAGGTGTTGGATGGGTAGTGAAGATCTTGCTTGAACAGCAACTAGGAAAAGTCAGACAGCAAAAGGCCTAACCTAAGGTCAGAGACAAACTGTTCTCCAGCTGTAATGAGCAACAGGGGGTAGGAATAAATGCACTGATTCTAGGATGGAGGTCTTTTTAGATCAAGTATGGTTCCTTTCAACAAGGAAATATTCTTACAGTACAAGAGGTGACTCAGGCTGCATACAATGAGGTCAGTTAAGATAGAGAGGTCAAAAAACATGTAATAACTGGAGGCTGGCACTGTGGCGTAATGGGTAAAGCTGTTGCCTGCAGTGCTGGCATCTCATATGGGCACTGGTTCGAGTTCCGGCTGCTCCACTTTGGATCCAGCTCTATGCTATCGTCTGGGAAAGCAGTAGAAGATGGCCCAAGTCCTTGGGCCCCTGCACCTGTGTGGAACCCAGAAAAAGTTCCTGATTCCTGGCTTTGGATCAACATGGCTCCGGCCATTGCGGCAACTGGGGAATGAACGAGCAAATGGAAGACCTCTCTCTCTCTCTGCCTCTCCTTCTCTATATAACTCTTTCAAATAAATAAATAAATAAATTTTAAAAACAAAACAAAAAAACCATGTAATATCTAGGTGGAAGGGGACATGGAATGACAGGAAGGTTAAGTGAGGTATAGTACAAAATGAGGAGAATGAGGGACTTCAGGGCTTGTATATAATAGAACTAAGATTTCAAAGGATAAAAAAGGGAAGACTTAGTTACCTGGAATCAGTGTTGATAAAGAAACTTTTCAACTCTAAAAAATGTTGAGAATTTAACTGTTAAATAAAATGGCTACAATTTATGGCTTTAATAGTGTTTATTTTTTCATTATCAATGAAATCTACAAACATCAATTGGCACAGCCTCTTTAAAGGGAAATCTGATAACACTGGCAAGATTTAAAATGTATGTATTCTTTAACTTGGTAATTCTGCTCTTACAACTGAATGTATATATACTTATAAAAGTACAGTTTGTATTCCTAAAAGTCTAGCAAAAGGAGTAATTATGGCATAAGCAAGCACTGAAATACTGGGCAGCTACAGCAAAAAAAAAAAAAAAAAAAAAAAGAAGAAGAAACACAAAAAACAACCAAACAAAAAACTATATTCACAAATGGTTCATATATTTTTTAAAAAGACTTCAAGATAAGTTAGGTGGCCTAGCACTGTGATTGTTCCTGTTTATTTTTCCTGTATGTGTGAGTATGCATGTCTATGGCTACTTGAAAATGCAAGGAATAGATCTGGAAGGTTAAATAAGAAAATGACTCTTGCTTCTCAAGAGTCAAGTAGGACAGAGACTCACTTTTCATTGTATGCCACTTGAGCTGTTTCTATTTAAAAATTAGCTTCATAAGCTCAGTAAAATCTAGAAATAGCAAAAAACTGACTATTTAAGATATGTAAATTAATGTTCTCACAGTGCCTTCACCATTTTTCTTATGTGTCACAATCCTATAAAGTAGGTATAATTATCCTTATTCACACAGACAAGGAAAGAAGCCCAGCGGCAAAGTGACCAGTCAAGTTCACCCTGCTGGCAAACGACAGAATTGGAACCAGAATTGAATTCTGATTTCCAGACCCATGCTCTATGGAAAGCAGGAAGCAACTAAAAGTCACCCTTAGTTCTTTCTCACATTAAGAGTTCCACAAGATTATCTGCAAATGTATCTGGTATTTTCCCTCCCCCCAAAAGTGCTTACCCTTCTGTATTTTTCTAGGTTAATAACCTCCAATCATGAAGTCACTCAAATCAGGAAAGTGGGAGTCAACCTCTCTTTGAGCTTCATACCTTACACAATATCAAATCCTACTGATTTTGCCTACTTACCATTACTAAAATCTCTCCCCCTCCCCCTTTCCCACAAGGTTTTCCCTAAACTCCCATTCTGGTTTAGAGTACTCCAACAGATTTCTTATGATATAAGCTAGCAGGTTTCATCCCACTCTATCTTACCAGTCATCCTTTTAGAATTTAAATCTGATCAGAGCTCTTCTCAACTTAAACTCTTTTAAAATGACCCAAAGTTGTTCAAGATAAGAACTCAACTCATCTACAGCATTCATAAAAACAACTACATGATCGCAGCCTCTTACATCACTTCTAGATACTCCATGTGCCTAGATGCATGCCACACGGTCAGTCCTTTCAGCCTCTTCAGCCACATTAAATTCAGAGGACAGGTAACAGCCAATCAAGACACAGTATTATAGTTCATACTTCAAAACACATACGAGGGGCTAGTGTTGCGGCAAAGCAGGTAAAGCTGCCACCTGTGAAACTGGCATCCCATACGGACACGGGTAAGCATCCCAACTGCTCCACTTGCAATTCAGCTCCCTGCTAACAGCTGGGAAAAGCAGTGGAAAATGGCTCAAGTGCTTGGACTTCTGCCACCCATGTGGAAGACCCCAATTAAGTTTCTAACTCTTGGCTTCTACCTGGTTCAATCCTGGCCATTGTAGCCACTTGGGAAGGTAACCAGTGGATGGAAGACTTCTCTGTCTTTCCCTCTCTATAACTCTGAATTCCAAATAATTTTTTTTTTTTTTAAAGAACATGTGGGGCTGACACTGTGGCACAGTACGCTAAGCCTCCATCTTTGGCACTGGCATTCCATATGGGCGCCAGTTGCAGTCCCAGCTGCTCCACTTCCCATCCAGCTCTCCATGGCCTAGGAAGGCAGTAGAAAACGGCCCAAGCCCTTGGGCCCCTGCACCTGCATGGGAGACCCAGAAGAAGCTCCTGGCTCTTTGCTGTGGATTGGCCCAGCTCCAGCTGTTGCGACCATTTGGGAAGTGAACCAGTGGATGGAAGACCTTTCTCTGTGTTTCTCCTTCTGTAACTCTGCCTCTCAAACAAACAAAATAACACATAGGAAACCAAACCACTACACTAACAAAAGATGTAAAGCATGTAACTGAGTAGCATGTATTAAGTGTTTTGAGAGCAGTAAATAGGAACAAGATTGTCTCTTATCTTCATCCTTCATTCTACGGGAAAAATAATCCAAGTCTTATTAACTTACTTTGCTCTTCCTGAATTCAGTAAGTCACTAATCACAATTCCAACTATCTTGTCACCAATTATCAGTACAGTAACTGAAGTTAAAAATAAAAGGTCAGTTTGCTGTATGTGCTAAACTGCTTCTTTAATGGTCAAATAGTTCAGTTATTTATAACAATTTAACTGTTACTTATCAAACATAATTTCAAAGGGAACTGACATTCCTAGGAAATCATATCCAAGCAACTGATTATCCACTGGAAAAACTGGAAACCCTTGTCACAGTCTGCTAGTTACCTAACTAATGTATATTTATTGTGCTGCTGGTTCATTGATTCTTTTGCAAAATTAATCCATTGTAGCTGTAAAAATACTCACCAATAGACTATTAAAATAGACATAAGCTTTATAAGGACCACCACCCCCATACTCTATGTGGTTCCCAAATATAAAACACATATTTCTGACACCAGAAGGTATTTTCCCAAAAGATTTCCTGAATGTCTAATCGTTACCTTGAAGCCCTTTAACTGCACTGAGCCTCAAGTTCCAAAGTCTGACAGCCCTGTGGTAACTCTACTCTACACCCTGTTATAATGGGTCGGGACTACCCAATGGTCAAGTCATTGGTGGGAGCTACTATGTCTGACAGAGACCTAGGGAAGAATGCTTTGGGGGAGGCAGAAATGACATGGAATTGGGCAGGCAAAAGGTAGGCAAGCAGGAGATGCAGAACTCTGAGGGGCAGGGGTCACTGGGGCAGTCTTCCTAGAACATCCGTCTCTTGTATGGAGTGGCTCCAGCTGAAAGAACAGTACAATGACCTTACCCTCCTCCTGCCTACCAATCCTGACATACTTGTCACTGAAGAGCTGAAGGGATATGGTCATGTATTTTGCCAATTTAGCTGGTGAATCAAAACAGTTAACTAAATGCATGTAAAAAAAGAATAAACATGTCAGAGATTGCTTGTATTGCTTACTTACGAAACATGTTAACTTGAGAAATACAAAGTTAGTAACAATAAAGACTCAACTACAATCAGGATTTAATAATTTATGATCCTTTCCTAAATATATCACAAACTATATTTTATATATTTCTTTGAAAAATCTAAAAACCGGCAAGGCATTAACTGATAATTACTCTCAAGGCTGATGTTGTTTTGCACTTGAATCATTATTTCACCAAGATATTAGTAAAAAACAGTGTACTTAGCCTTCAGATTAATACAGAAAGTGGGTTTCTGTAGCACTGTTTTTTTCAAGGAAAGGATTTGGACTTGAAGAGAATGTGGAAAAGACAAACTTTTAAAAGTACTTGCTGGCCGGCGCCGCGGCTCACTAGGCTAATCCTCCGCCTAGCGGCGCCGGCACACCGGGTTCTAGTCCCGGTTGGGGCGCCGGATTCTGTCCCGGTTGCCCCTCTTCCAGGCCAGCCCTCTGCTGTGGCCAGGGAGTGCAGTGGAGGATGGCCCAGGTGCTTGGGCCCTGCACCCCATGGGAGACCAGGAAAAGCACCTGGCTCCTGGCTCCTGCCATCGGATCAGCGCGGTGCGCCGGCCGCAGCGCGCCAGCCGCGGCGGCCATTGGAGGGTGAACCAACGGCAAAGGAAGACCTTTCTCTCTGTCTCTCTCTCACTGTCCACTCTGCCTGTCAAAAAAAAAAAAAAAAAAAAATAAATAAATAAAAAAAATAAAAGTACTTGCTCATTACCTGTATGTTTTCGAAGATGCTCTTTAAAATGTCCAAAGTGGTCAAACTGTTTCTCACAGTACTGACAAATGTGAATTTTTTTCCCAGTTCTTTGCTTCTTACTGACTCCACCTTCTTCAAGGTGGTAACAATTTAGGTGCTGTTTCCATGCGCTCTCCCGAAGATACCTTTTATTGCATATTTCACACTTGAAACTCTCAGTGGAGTGTGATTTCATGTGTTCCTTAAAATGGTAAAACAATTTAAATGAACGGTTACATTTCTCACAATGGAATAAGTCCTTCACATGTGACAGCTGAAGTTCCACAATTTCAATACCTTCTACCTGTTTGCTTATGGGGTCAGATGCACAGCCGTCTTCTTTAATCTGTCCTTTCCTATCACCTTGACGGTACTTGCTGGTAATGTCTGCCAACAGTGCTAGAGCGGAATCATCAGAGGAAGCTGTGCTCTGTATGTATTTTATGGACTGCTTAGCAGAAGCCACTTCCTCTAACGTTTCGATGCCTTCATCTTCCACCTCGATCGTGCCCTCGGCAATCTCCACCTCGATTTCAACAGGTTCTGATTCTGCAGACGGCAATGACTCAGTGATAACATTTGAAGTTTCTGCAATCTTCCTTTTTTTGGCCTCACTTTTTCCTGTGGTATTCTCCTCTAATGGAGCTGAATTTTCTTTGTTTCTGAAATACAGAATGTGTAGATTTTAAAAATCTGTAAGATTGAAATCTTAAAAGGCTTTTCTGAAGAAACTGATACAGAAGAACAGAAAACAAGGTTGGATAGCTTATACTTTATGACCCCAAGACTTACTAAAAAGCTACAATTATGACAATGACATTTGGTAAAGTATAAATATGAAGATAAACACAACAAAATAAAGTGCAGAAACAGATCCACACTTGTACATTAAATTTATTTCCATAAGAAAAAAAGTTCCTAGGCAATACAATGGAGAAAGCTAATTTTTTTAACAATGGTACCAGAACTGGTATGTGTATGGGAAAAATAACCCTTATCTCACATCATACACAAAAAAGTAGACCTCAGGTTTAAATGTAAGAACTAAAACTATTAAATTTCAAGAAAATCTGCAGGCAATCTAGTGAAAAAATTCTAAAGTAGCATACCAAGAAAGAAAAACAAATAAAGGCAGAGATCCCTAACAGCAAAATCTGGTGAAATTAATTTCATCAAAATTAAAAATTTCTACCCTTTAGAATTACAGTTAATTAAGAGGCAATTTATGGAAGATATTTATAAACATCCATCTGTCAAAAGTATTATATCCAGAATGGGATAAGCTATCTTACAACAAGCGCAATAAAAGATGACACCTGTTGAAAGACTATTCTCTAAGAGTTTCTTGAGTGTCTGAAAATCTTACAAACGTTTTGGACTCTTCACAGATACATGCACACAGTACAGACAGGAAAGGTTTTTTACTGTCCCATGTAATAAGGACAATAGTCCCTCCCTCTAGGATAAAGGCCAGGCAGGTTTGCTTGTAGCTCATCATAAAAGACTTGGGTTTTCTAAGCTAAATATTCCTTAGCTATGATATAAACCACTCACACATACAGCATTCACTTGGGCCATCCTATGCCACCCCTGTGGGACGACTTAAGAAGGGAAAACTAGTGTCAACTCAAAACTCTGCTACTTGCTGTGATCATGGATGGTGATAAAATCCTGTCCTTTGGGCCCCTAAGTCTTCTGATCTACCAGCATCCATCACCCAGTGGTGGAATAACTTGCTAGCTTGTGAGCAAAACCTCAGATCCCTCATAATTCTTGTCAGTTTCTGGCACTGAGGACAGGATACCAAAACAAGGTAAGGTTTTCTGAAAGCATGAGGGGCTGGTATTGCAGCACAGCAGGGTAAACAGTAGCCTGTGATGCTGAGTGCTAGTTCAAGTACTGTTTCTGCATGTGGGAAGGCAGCAGAAGATGATCTAAGGACTTGGGCCACTGCATCCATGTGGGATATCAGGATGCAGTCCTGGCTTTGGTCTGGTCCAGCTCTGGCTATTGCAGCTATTTGGGGGAGTGAACCAGTAGATGGGAATATATTTCTCTCTCCTCCTCCTTTTCTCCTTCTCACTCTCTCTCATGTTCTGCCTTTCAAACAAATAAATAAATCTGTAGAAAAAAAAAAAGAGGAAGGATGAAACATCACATAGCAATTAACGGACTATGAGGAAAGTTCACGGAATTTGGCGGTAAACACATTGACCAAATTGTATAGTCACAACTGGACAATAAAGAATCTTCCACTTTATTGCTATCACTGTGAACTGTGTCTTCCTCCTCCAAAAGATGATTACAAGGGGCTAGCATTGTGGTGTAGGGGTTAAGCTGTTGCCTGCAGTGCTGGCATCCTATGTGGGCGCCAATTTGTGTCCCTCCTGATGGCCTGGAAGGGCAGCGGAAGATGCCCAAGTGCTGGGCCCTTGCTAGTCACGTGGGAGGCCTGCAGGAGGCTCCTGGCTTCAGTCTGGCCCAGCCCAGCCCAGGCTGTTGCAGCCATCTGGGAGGAACAATGGGAGGGACATCTCTTTCTGTAACTCTTTCAAATAAATAAATCTTAAAACAACAAAAAACTATGAGGTGAAAAAAAAAAAAAAGGATGATATGGTGGTCCCTGATACCTGTGAATATGAACAGATCTGGAATTTAACCTTCAAGGTATTAAGACAGAACTGAGTTAAGACATCATTAGGGTGCCTTAACTCACACTAAATCATTGTAGATGTCTCTACAGGAGTTGGGATATACAAGCAGAGAAAACAAAGCCAAATGAAGACAGAGGGAAGATGGCAATGTAGAGATGGAGCCAGAGATGGAGGAGTGATGTTGCTACAGCCACGGAACGCCTGGGGCTTCCAGAAACTAGAAGAGGCAAGAAGGATTCTCACCTAGTCTCTGAAGGGATCAAGGCCCTCTATGAACACCTTGACTTCAGAATTCTAGCCTCCAGAACTGAGAGACACTAGGAATACACTTCTGTTAAGGCACCCGGTTTGTGGTACTTTGTACTGAATGGCAGTCTTAAAAAACAAAATTACCTAGTAACAAAGAAAAACTGAGAATGCAGTTTTAGAATGAGTACTGGACATGTTCATGGACAGGTACTGGTACAGTGCCGTGGTCACTGTAAAATCTCCTTTCTAAGTCATATGTTCAGGTTTCTGGACCACTCATAGTCTGATAATGGTACACTTTTTATTATAAAACTACATAACAGGAGCCATTCCATATAGATGCCAGTTCGAGTCCCCGCTGTTCCACTTCCGATTCAGCTCCCTGCTGAACGCTGGGAAAGCAGTGGAAGATGGCCCAAGTGCTTGAGCCTCTGCACCCCTGTGGGAGACCCAGAAGAAGCTCCTGCTTGGCCCAGCTCTAGCCACTGCAGCCATCTGGGGAGTGACCAGTAGATGGAAGATCTCTCTGTCTCTTCCTATTTGTCTGTAACTCTATCTCTTAAATAAATAAATAAATCTTTAAAAAAAAAAAACCTACACAATAACTGAATAATAGTTAAGGCATTAAAAGACCTTTCACACGCTAACTACCAACCACAGATACTGGTACTGTGGAATAAGACAACTCTACTCCTTCACCCCCTCCTCATCCAAATATCTGAGTACAGAAGTTTGGTCATCAAATTCCATTATCCCCATAAACTTTTTGTCTCCTTGGCTGCTTTGTGAGTAATGATGAAGAAAAAAGGGGTGGGAGTTATACAAACCTAACTGGAAATTTAGGATTCAGGTCCTGAACATTCTTGGAAATACATGATTCTCTTTCTCCAAAAGCAGCCTTGGGACAATTTGCTTGGTATCTCTCTTATGTGATAACCTGATAACAAATGGGCTTAAGAGAATCAAACTTAATTCCTGTTCAGTTACCTGGATTTTCTTGTTGGACTGACACCATTTCCTAAGAATATTAACCACCTGACTGAATTGCCAAGTATACTTACAATGGCCCACAGGAGCCAAAGTGGGAAACTTAATGGGTCTCTAAGTTTTATAAAAACGCCTTTGACCATTTCAGATGAAAGGTAAGAGGAGTAGATAGGGGCCACCGCCGGCAGTGTTAGCATCCCACATGTGTGCCGGTTTGATCCTGGCTCCTTCACTCCTTCACTTTCGATCTAGCTCTCTGCTGTGGCCTGGAAAAGCAGTAGAAGATGGCCCAAATCCTCAAGCCCCTGAACCAGTGTGGGAGACCTAGAGGAAGCTCCTGGCTTCTGATGGGCGCAGCTCCAGCCATTGTGACCACATGGGGAGTGAACAAGTGGATGGAAGACCCCTCTCTCCCTCTGCCTTTCAAACAAATAAATAAATCTTTAAAAAAAGAAGAGAGGATGATTGGAACTAGGTAAAGTTATAGCTATCATAACGGGATACACTGATTCTGTGGTGGTATAAGGAACAAGCAGAATTTTAGTTATCACTGTCTTCCAGAACCATCTCTAGAAGGAAAAAGCCAATGTCGCTCCAAGTGCTTGTGTGCATCTTTAAACTGATATGAAGTAGTCACCAATTCCCTTAACTTTACCAAGAAGTCTTGAAAACATCTGGGGACGGCCAAATTCTGCACTCTCACGCAAAATAGTAGGTATTTGCCTATCACTCTCGGAGTTATGATCACGAGGTGGACAACAGCCACTGAGGTGGCATTCAGGCGCTTGTAAAGAGCAGGACAGACTGAACTGATACCTCACATAGTCCTACCACTTGAATTAGACTCAATCACTCTAAATGAACTACGAAAGGAGGTCACATTGAGGGCAACGTCAGCATGTGCCCAGCTGACATAGATCCCTCTTTGAGAACACAAATAATTATAAACAGTATTTCTTTCCAGGGCTCCTATGTGCTCCTGGGACTGTACTTCTTGTGTGGAGGCCAGGTTCTAACTTCTCTCCCCCACAAATACAATGACTCACACCTCAGGTGGATATGAGAGACCATCAGCCGGCACCCCGGCTCACTAGGCTAATCCTCTGCCTTGCGACGCCGGCATACCAGGTTCTAGTTCCAGTCGGGGCACCGGATTCTGTCCCAGTTGCCCCTCTTCCAGGCCAGCTCTCTGCTGTGGCCAGGGAGTGCAGTGGAGGATGGCCCAAGTGCTTGGGCCCTGCTCCCACATGGGAGACCAGGAGAAGCACCTGGCTCCTGCCATTGGATCAGCGCGGTGCGCCAGCTGCGGCAGCCATTGGAGGGTGAATCAATGGCAAAGGAAGACCTTTCTCTCTGTCTCTCTCTCACTGTCCACTCTGCCTGTCCAAAAAAGAGACCATCAAGTTTTTTTTTTTTTCTTGGACAGGCAGAGTGGACAGTGAGAGAGAGAGACAGAGAGAAAGCTTTTCCTTTACCGTTGGTTCACCCTCCAATGGCCGGCATACCGCACCGATCCGCAGCCAGGAGCCAGGTGCTTCCCCTGGTCTCCCATGTGGGAGCAGGGCCCAAGGACCTGGACCATCCTCCACTGCACTCCCGGGCCACAACAGAGAGCTGGACTGGAAGAGGAGCAACCAGGACAGAATCCGGTGCCCCAACTGGGATTAGAACCTGGTGTGCCGGCGCCGCAGGCGGAGGATTAGCCTATTGAGCCACGGCGCCGGCCCATCAAGTGTTAAAAGGAAGATCATGTAGCCCTCAGGACTCTTGAT